ACTCACCTTTCCTGGCCCCATCCCCGCCTCTTCGACCTGTTTGTTTCTTCTCCACCTATCCTCTCCTCTATCCCTCTTCTATCCGCCTCCCACTCTCTCCCTATTTATTTCAAAACCCCCTTCCCCTCCCCCTTTTCTGATGAAGGGTCTAGGCCCGAAACGTCAGCCTCTCTGCTCCTATGATGCTGCTTGGCCTGCTGTGTTCATCCAGCCTTGCACCTTGTTGTCTCGGATTCTCCAGCATCTGCAGTTCCTACTATCTCTGATTCGATTTTAACCTCAATAGAATGTAAGTTTAGGGGGGATTGTGGAAACATGAATTTATTTCAAGTTTTCTGAAAATTACTGCAGTGATTTATTTAAAAACAGTCATTGAAAGGTCACTGAACACAAGTCATTTTAAGAAAGGCATACTAGATATCATGATAAGACAATAAGATGAAGGAACAAAACAAGGTCATTCAGGTTATTGAGTCTGCTCCACCATCCGATGAAATAGTGGCTGATCTCGTAATACTCAACTCCACTTTCCTGCTTTTTCCTTACATTACAGTCTATCTGCCAAGTTTTTGCCCAATCGCTTAACCTGTCTACATACCTGTGCAGACTTTTGTGTTCATCTTCAAGATGACATAGGATGATTATTTGGACAGAAATGCTGTGCAGGGATATGGGGAAAAGGCAGGATATTGGCACTAGGTAATAAAACAATGTAGGCATGAGGCACCCTTCTGCACTGTAATAATTCTGTGACCTATAGATCAGTTAGATTAACATTTTTCCAATAACAGATGTTAGAGTCTTTATTAACGAGTAACAGCAGAGCATTTATATACATAACATTATGCATAAATTAGAAGAGGGTAGCAAAGGAAAGAGTAGGCCCATTCAAGGACAAAGGAGGGAAGTTATGCGTGGAGCCACAGGAAGTGGGAGAGATCCTTAATGAGTACTTTGCATCGGTTTTCACCAAAGAGAAGGACATGACTGATGTTGATGTCAGGTCGGAGTGTGTGAATACTCTACACAATGTGAATATATTGAATGAGGAAGTTTTGGGTATCCTAAATTGCATTAAGGCCAACATGTCCCAGGGTCAGATGGGATCTATCCCAGGTTTCTGCAAAAGGCAAGGGAAGAAATAGCTGGAGCATTAGCAGATATCTTCACATCCTCTTTGACCACACGCGAGGTTCCAGAGGACTAGAGATTAGCCAATGTTGTTTCCTTGTTTAAGAAAGGAAGCAGGAATAATCCAGGAAATTATAGGTTGGTGAGCCTGACCTCTATGGTGGGGAAGCTCTTGGAGAAGATTATGAGTGACGAGATATATGCACATTTGGAAGAAAATGGATTAGTTAATGATAGGCAGCATGGTTTGTACACTGAAGGACATGTCTCACTAACCTGACTGAACTTTTGAAGAGGTGACAAATATAATTGATGAGGGAAGGGTTGTGGATGTAGTTTATATGGACTTTAGTAAGGCTTTTGATAAAGTCCCACATGGCAGATTGGTACAAAAATTAAAATCACATGGGATTCTGGGTGGGCTGGCTAGATGGATACAAAACTGGCTTGGTCATTGAAGACAGAGAGTGGAGGTGGAAGGGTGTTTTTCAGAATGAAGACCAGTAACTAGTGCTGTTCCACAGCAATCAGTCTTAGGTCCTCTGTTGTTTGTAGTCTATATAAATGATCTGGAGGAAAATGTGGGTGATCTGATTAGTAAGTTTGCAGATGACACGAAGATTGGTGGAGTTGCTGATAGTGCCAAGAATTATTAAAGGGTACAACAGAATATAGATAGATTGGCAACTTGGGCACAGAAATGACAGATGGAGTTTAATCCAGACAAATGCGAGGTGATAACTCACTCAGAGATAGTAAGAACTGCCGATGCTGGAGTCAGAGATAACACAGTGTGGAGCTGGAGAAATATAGCAGGCCAGCAGCATCAGAGGAGCAGGAAAGTTGACATTTCGAGTCGGGACTCCATTTCTGAAGCAGGGTCCCAACCTGAAATGTCAACTGTCCTGCTATATTCCTCCAGCTCCACACGGTGTTATAAATGCAAGGTGATGCATTTTGGAGGATCAAATTTAGGTGTAAATTGTACTGTAAATGGCAGAACCCTTAAGAACATTAACATACAGATGAATTTGGGTGTGCAGGTCCACAGTTCTCTAAAAGTTGCAACACAGGTGGCCAAGGTGATTAAAAAGGCATATGGCAAGCTTGCCTTCATCAGCTGGGGCATGGAGTACAAGAGTCGGTAAACATGTTGCAGCTAAATAAAACCCTTGCTAGGCTGCATTTAGAGCGGTATGTGCAGTTTTGGTCGCCACACTACCAGAAGGATGTGGAAGCTTTGGAGAGAGCACAGAGAAGATTCACCAGGACATTGCCTGGTTTTGAAGGCATTAGCTCCGCGGAAGGGTTAAAAAGACTAGGATTGCTTTCACTGAAAAGACGGCAGCTGACAGAAGACTTGATAGAGTCCTACAAAATTATGAGAGGCATGGATAGGGTGGATAATCAGAGACGTTTTCCCAGGGTTGATGTTTCAATTACAAGGGGGCACAGGTTCAAGGTGAGAGGGTGAAGTTTAAGGGAGGGACAATTCTCACGCAGAAATTCTGCTGGCTGTAATGGTGATTTGAAACTATGTCCCAGAGCAAGAGTACTTCATTCTGGGTTACTGGTCCAGTGACATTACCATTACAACATCATCTGTGTAAAAGGTTTACTTCAAGACATTTGCTTGCACATTTAAAATAAAGTCTCTTACCAAATGACCACACGTCTGATTTACTGCTGAACTTAGAATAATGTAGCACCTCAGGAGGTGACCATTTCACAGGAAACTTGGCACCTGAAGAACTAGTGTACTGATCATCCAAGACATATCTGAAGATGACGCAATTAAATAAAGATATATTTGTTAACAAATCATAAAACCTTTAGCATAAGAGATCACTTTGCACATTGCAAACAAATGATGCTTGCTATACATAAAATCAGTCTACAATAATCTATTTTCCTGCTCTTCCCATTCTTATTATGTTCAGTGTTGCTCTAATTGTCAGTTAAGCTTCAAGGTGGAAATTTAATGTTGAATACATCAATAGAAATTGTCTGAATGCATTCAATACTATAATAAATTCAATTATAAATATTTCCAATCTCTTCTGCATTTTATTCAAATGCCAAATTTAAGTTTCCTTGTTACAAATTCATTGACTGATGGAGGTAACTTTTCACTATTTTTATTATCAAACTGTTTTAGCATCGACTTGGTTCGGTTAGTCACCTTATCTACCTCAAAAGGTTTAGTTTGAAACTGCACTCCAGAATGCTTTTTTGAAATTTAAGCTAATATTAATTTCCAGTAACACCAATAGATAGATAAATGCACAAGTACCCTAGGATGACATGCTAAGTTTTTGCTGTGATAGGAGTAGGTCTTTCAGCTCCACAAACTAGCTCTGTCATTCAACGAGATCATGACTAATCTGTATCAATACTTCATTCACTCGCCAATACTTTAAATGCCTTCATACCCATGACTAGCACTAATCTATTAACCTTAGATTAGAATAATTAGCATCTACCGTTTTCTTGGTACAGAACTTGATACATCCATCGCCCTCTGTGTGAAGCTTATCTCCTGAACGGCCTATTCCTAATTTGAAGATTATGTCTAAGTGTCTTCAACTTTACCAACATCAGAAAACGTTTCTATCTATCCTATCAATTATTCTGAAAATCGGAAAATATGTGATTAAAACTCCTTTTAACGTTCCATATTCCTGGCAATCTGATTTGTATTTCAAGCAATTATCATTTTGTTCAAGTTTGATTAGAAAAGCTGGAAAACTAAAGTTTGAGAAGCGGATCGGTCATGAACAGCAATGCTTCTTCCCATTCAGTTGTAGATAATCTTGTAAGATAATAGTTTATCAGAGAGGATGATCATAGCTAGGTGAGTAGTGAGAATGTAGTCCACTCCAAATTATTATGACAAATGGTTTTAAATCAGTGAAATTCTAGCTATGCGAGTGCAAAAAAAGCCCAAAAATTTACTTTGGCCAAACTTCAGCTAACTGTCCCTATGTATAATAATAGAATCCCTCCAGTGTGGAAGCAGGTCATTCAGCCTATCAAGTCCACACTGGCCCTCCAAAGAGCATCCCATCCAGACCTACCCTGCCCATGTAACCCTGCATTTCCTATGGCTAATCCATTAGCCTGCACATCCCAGGACACTATGGGCAATTTAACATGGTCAATCCACCTAACTTCCTCATTTTTGGACTTTGGGAGAAAACCGGAACACTCGGAGGAAACCCACACAGACACAGGAAGATCATGCAAACTCCACACAGACAATCGCCTGAGGCTGGAATCGAACCTGGGTACTTGGCGCTGTGAGGTTGCAGTGCTAACCACTGATCCACCATGATGCCCTAAAGCAAACAACACACAGTACACCAGAGGCTCTTCAGCCCATCAGGTCTGTGACACCAATACTCCAATAAATCTACTAGCTCTAGACCAATAGGCATGAATGTTACGACATTTCAAGTGTTTATCCAAGTTTCTTTTAAAAGTTGTGAGGTTATCCACCTCAACTACTCTCCCAGGCAATGCATTACAGATTTTTACAATTACAAGTAATTTTTAAAGGGAGATTACATCTGACCGACTTGATTGAATTTTTTGAAGAGGCAACCAGCTGTGTAGATGCATAGTTACTTGGAATTTTAGCAAGTCTTTTGATAAGGTCCTTCACGGGATACTGATAGCAAATATAAGAGCCCATGGGATCCAAAGAAATTTGGCTAATTGGATACAGAACTGGCTGAGTGGCAGGAAGCAGAGGGTGGTGGTCGAGGGATGTTTTTGTGAGTGGAGGTCTGTGTCCAGTAGGGTTCTGCAGAGATCAATGTTGGGGTCCTATGTTGGGTACATATATAGATGATTTTGATTTGAATGTTCAGCAAGTTTGTTGATGATACGAAAATTGGTGAGGTGGTAAATAGTGAGAAGGATAGCTTTATATTACAGGAGGATATAGATGTGCTGATTAGTGGCAAATGGAAGTCAATTGGGATAAGGTGAAGTTTCATTATTCTCTCATGGGACATGGGTGTCGCTGGCTGCATTTATTGCCCAAGTTACCCTTGAAAAAACAGTGATAAATGCCTTCTTGAACTGCTAGAGTCAATGTGCTGTAGGTAGACTCACCATTTTATCAGAAAGGGAATTCCAGAATGCTGATGCACTTAGGCTGGACAGACAAGGCAAGAGAATATGGCAAAGCAAGGGACTCTACAGGTATTTAATAAATACATTATCATTTGGTAGTACAGAATTTGAACATTGCTGAAAAACAACATATTTATGAAAACTTTTCATTAGGACAATTCACAAGTAGTACAAAAACAGCACTTCTGATGTATGACAGGCAAGAGGACTCTGACTGGTGGAGGTGCTGCCCTGGAGAATGCACTAACCTGGTGAGGGCAAAAATGAAAAGCTTTAACAAAACGTGTCTTTTTTCAGCAATACTCAAGGAAATTATAACTTCATCTCTGTCAGGATATCCTTTCTGAAAAGCTCTAGCTGTTTTGCTACATTTGAAATAATTCAGAAAAAAAACTGAGTAAAAATTGCTAGAAACTAAATAGAAATATTCCGTCACTGGCTGACAGCACAGTACGAAGGCAGTTCTGGAAACTGTCTGTTACTGTGCTTAGAAAGCAAAAATTGGGTTATAATATCAAAGATCTGTCTAAAGATATATATCCATGGTTTCTGGGCAGACTTCAGCCTTTAAGTAAAACTTCAATGAAGATAAAATGCAATATACATTAAATGGATAGATGTTATTTTGAAAATTATTTTGAAATGTATAATACTCGTTTTACTTCTTTGCTTTTAGACACAAAGAATTTCAGTTTGTGATGCTTGGCAGCAAAGTTAAAATCCATTAATTTAAAGGGATGGTATTAGCATGGATATGAAGTTGGCTGAGTAGCAGGAAATAGATGTTGTCTTTGGACTAGAACAAAGTTTGTAACGCTCTGCAGGGATTAAAACAGGCACCATTTATTTTCTTAATCTGTATTAAATGACTTCGATTTGAGTGTGCAGGGTGCAATTTCAAAATTTGTGCTTGATGAAGAGGCAGTATTGCAAACAAAGAGGACGATTATGATAGATTTCAAGAGACAGAAATTGGTGGTATGGCTGACAAAGTGGCAGATGAAATTTCATACACAGAAGTGTGAAGAGGTACATTTTTGTTGGAATAATGAAAAAAGGAATACAAAGTAAAATTCTATATAGGGTGCAGAAGTGAAGAAATCTGAAGATATATGGTCACAATTGTTGAAGATAGTAGGGCAGGTTGAAAATGTGATTAAGTTACATGACATCCTAGATTTTGTAAAAACTTACATAGAAAGCAAAAGCAAGAAGTGATACTGAGCTTTTATAAAAACATAATTACCTCAATTAGAGTGTTATGTCCATGTTTTAAGAAGGATGTGAAATTTTAAAGATGGTGCAGACAAGACTCAGAGAATGATTCCAGGAATCAGTTACATGGACAGATTGAAGAAGCTAGAGCAATACAGATTTTAAGAGGTTTCATAGGGGTGATCAAAATTTTGGGGAGTCTGGAAAACAAGAGGTAGAGAGAAAACAATAGCCAAAACACAATGGTGACAGCTGGGAGTCTGGACAGAGTACAGTGAAAAATACTGTCCTCATGACGACACTGATTTAAGGTGAATGTCAAAAGATTCTAAAGCGACATGGGGAAAAACATTTCTGTGTGGCAAATAAGGATCTGGAATGTACTGCGGGGCAACTGAACTGGCTCTCACAGAGAAATAGCACACATACTACAGGCCAAACAGCCTCCTATTGTTCCATAAAAGGATGCTCATGAATTATGTAAACTCAAAATTTTGTTTCATTAGGCACAGGACATATGAGGGTTTGGTTAGCTGAGTTGGCAAGACAGCTAATTTGTGCTGCAGAGTGAGACCAATAGCATAGGTTCAATTCCCACACCAGCTGAGGTTACCATGAAGGATCCGCTTTCTCAATCTCTCCTCTCATCTTTGTCATAGTGAGCCTCAGGTTAAATGATCACAAGTTATGTCTCTCTAATGACAGAATAGCCCCATTATTTGGTAAGACTATGGCAACTTTATCTTTAGTGCATGTATACTTAAGATTTGTAACCTTGAAATTCAGTTACCTGCTTTATACTGACCATTTCAACGTCGTGCAACAAGATTATAATTTATCTATTTGTGGCTCTAACTACATTTTCCCATCTGCTTCCCTTGAAGGTAAACTCCCTTGCAGTTCAAAAATCTAAACAGGCTTGAATGCATTCAAAAATCTAAAGCCACTATACCCTGTTAGAGATAATTCCAAAAGGCATTGATGTTTTGAGAGCTCACTAACAACAGCTGATCATCATTAGTAACATAGGGAAGTACATTCAGGATATTTGGGAGGAAATGTGCCCTAATGCACTTAGAAATTCAAGTAAAATAGGCTAAAAGAAGGAATTATATTCTCTTGTGCATTGTGCACATTAAGTCACAGGATTCAGTCTCCCAGCTGTCACCATTATGTATTGGCTATTGTTTTCTCTCTACTTCTTGTTTTCCAAATCTAGTGACCGAAAAAGAATTTATCAGGGAATTAGGTACCTTGGGAGAACTTCAAGGAGGCATGCCTAAAAAAACACGATCTGAATTGAGAAGTGGGGCAGCAAGCAGATAACAACAGATAAGAACCACTGGTAGTGAAACAGAAGTGGGGCCTACACCTCTCTCAGGTGAGTGAAGCTGAGCTATAACTTATATGGTGGTGGGAATTTTGTTAACTGTGCAAGCTCAGAATTACAATGATTCAAGGTTCTGCCTAAAAAAAGAAAGAAATGGAGTTAAAATAAGTTCATGTTGAACAACAGAGTTGGGTAACTTAAAGATTTTAAATACGTATTTTTAAAATTTTTATGAACTTTGATAAACCTTATGTTTGATATTAGAAATTACTATGTTACTAAAAAGTAAAATAGTGGATGAAAATGGAATAACTTTTAATGTTTACTGATAAATACTAACATCAGGTAGAGTTTTTGATTATAAATGTTTACGTAGGATTGTTTCAATGTGATCTGTTGACTTACAAATTTCCCATTATAATTGCATGGTACACCAAGTAATCTTAATATACATGGGGAGATGTGCGACACATTGTGAGGCTCTCAATTACAGTTATGTATGGAGCTGAATTTTATTTGCAAACAAACATTGAAGGACTGCAATAATGTTTTGTTTCACCCAACTTGGGGCGGAACAGTGGCTTGGTGGTTAGCACTGCCGCTTCACAGTGCTAGGGACACAGGTTCAATTCCACCCTCAGCCAACTGTGTGTGGAGTTTGCATATTCTTCCCATGTCTGCGTGGGTTTCCTCCAGGTACTCCAAAGTCCAAAAATGTGCAGATTAGGTGGATTAGTCATGGGAAATGCAGGGTTATGGGATGGATCTGGGTGGGATGCTCTTCAGAGAGTTAGTGTGCACTTGATGGGCTGAGAAACCTGCTTCTACTCTGTAGGGATTCTATGACTTCTTCTACCCAAGGATCCATCCTTGGTCTCAATTATTTCTCGACCACAAACTGCCCTTTAGTGATATTACTCAAAAAAATTCTACCTGAGCTTTCATTTGCACTCTGATGACAGCCAGCTCTACCGCACTAGAAGCTCTCTGAAAGAACCCATCATCACTAAATTACCAGGCTGCTCATGAAAAATCCATTGCTGGATGAGCAAATATTTTCTCCAACTGAACATTGGGAAGACTGAAGCCAATATTAATGGTCTCTCTAAACTCTGTCCACTAGTTTTTCACACAAACCTTGCCCTGGAAAGCCATTCTGTTTGCAATCTTGGTGTTACATTTGATCTTTAGATGACCTTCTGATTTCAATTTCACATTATCCATAAATTATAGAACTGCCAATAACTCTGTCCATCTCAGCCTAACTTACTTACCTATAGACTTGACAATTCCCGCCAACTCCTACCGGTGTCTCACATCTGCAGCCTGAATTTTAACACATATGCAGTCCTATTTACATATCACCCCTGTGCTCACTTCACTACACTGGCTTCTGGTAAAGCCAAGTCTTGATTTTAAATTTTTCATACTCGTTTCCAAATCCCTTCATTCCCTTGCCTATTTCTATCTCTATAATCCTCTCCACAACCCGTGGTGATATTTGCAGCCTTTTGAGCATGCGCATTTTAATTGCTCCCCATTGGTGGACCCGGCTTCAGGCCTTAAGCTCTTGAACACCATCCCTACATTTTTCCACCTTGCTTTCCTTCTTTAAGGTAGGGAAAACCTAGAGCATTGACCAGAATATTGGTCAATTTACCTAATTATGCTGTTGCAGTCCAATGTCATACACCATTTTATAATGGTTCTCTGAAGTGCCTTTGGATATTTTATTTCATTAAAGACATTAAATAAATATGAGTATTTGTTGTTGTATCTAACATCAAGAATGGGCTTTATACTAATGCTGGATTTTACCTGGTCATTCCAAAATCAGACACTTTCACCACATGCGATTCACTCACCAAGCAGTTCCGGGCAGCCTAAAAAGACAATCGCAACATATTTTCTTGAAATATATGATTAACATTTTCTAATTCTGCCTTTTACAGTCCACAGTTTTTAAAAGTTGACATGAATAGGCAGCAATCCTTGGCTGGTGAATGAAACAAATTCTGTCCAAATACTTTAAACTTAATCAAAAATCACTCTCAAACTGTTTTATTGAGGATAAATGCCACTTTGGTAGACGGCCTCGAGTTCTAAACTGCTACCTTGAAGAATTTAAGCAAAATGTATATAACAAATTAGCTAAACTGGCATGGGACTTCCTCAATCATCTCCCGATATTTCAGCAGATGCGTAGGACTCAAGAAGGAAGAGGCAAGTTAACCCTATCCACATAAAAACGTAACATTATAATTTATCATTATCATTTAAAATCAGAACTATTTAAATAGATTTACCAATATATTATAATTCACAGATCACAGAAGATCAGAGAATCCCTCCTGTGTGGAAACAGGCCCTTCAGCCCAACAAGTCCACACTGACCCGCACAGCATCCCACCCAGACCATCCCCCTGTAACCCACCTAATCTACCGAACACTACGGGCAATTTAGCATGGCCAATCCACCTAGCCTGCACATCTTGGGACTGTGGGAGGAAACTGGAGTACACGGAGGAAACCCATGCAGACACAGGTAGAATGTGCAAACTCCACACAGACAGTTGTCCGAGGGTCGAATCAAACCCGGATCCCTGGTGCTGTGAGGCAGCAGTGCTAACCACTGAGCCACCGTGCCGTATACATAATATACATTGTATACATAAGCTGGCATAAAAACAAAACCAAACAAAATCTGACCTCACATAATATCATGTCTGCAGGCAGTTCCTTCTAACTTTTCCTTCAGTAAATGTGTGCATCTATACTGATAACAGAAAGTGCCAATGCACATTCATCATTTTCAAGTTCTAATTACAACTTCCTGCCACATGAAGACTGCAGTTGATATTATGACCTTTTTCCCACCATAACACTTTCCATCTACAATGTCATGGTAATTCACATTAATTTATTTAGTGGGACATTTATTCTATTATTGCTCACCCAAACTAAATCTGGATTTAGTTGTGAACTGTTTTTTAAAATAGTCACGGGATGCGAGTGTCATTAACAAGACCAATATTTATTGGCCCATCCCCAATTTTGGTCAAGATGGCAATGGTAAACCACGAAGTACTGCTGCATCCACGTGTTACATCCAGAGTGCAGTCAGGGAGTTCCAGGATGTTGACCCAGCAACATCAAAGGAATGGTGACTTTATTCCAAGGTACAATGATGTTTAACTTGGAACAGGAGCTAGTAAGTAGTCACGCTCATTCTGAGCTGTTTTTGCATACACTCTTGGTGCTTGGCCTTGCAGCATGAGTAGTTGTTACTTGGATATTGAGTGGTTGGCAAAATTTACTAACTGTGTAATTCTGTTATTTAACTTCAAGTCTGAGAAGCAGTGGCAGGCATAAATTTGAAGACAAGGACAAGAGAAATGCAACTATCAGCATTTTCTTTACCCTGAAGAAGTTAACTTCCCAGCTGAAAAGATTTTCCCTTAGTAGAATATTTGTTATGTCATTTTTGTAACAGATCTTGAATCTGCTTGCTAACTTTCTTTCCATTTAATTCTGACAGTGTCTCGTCTATTGTGCTATAATTTGCTTTTCCCAGTCAAGTAGCATTAATCCATTATTTAAATAAAAGCATATTACTGCAGATGCTAGAAATCTAAAATAGAAACAGCAAGAGTTGGAGAAACTCAATGGGTCTGGCAGCAGTTCTGGAGAAACAGAGATTAATGTGTCAAGTCCAGTATGACTTTTTCAGGACATTTTTTGTTACTTGTACTTGTACTTACTTGTTTTTATACTTACACTGAATTTTATACTGTGTTATTGTTACTGGTCACAAATGTTTCCTTATTTTTCAGTCACCGACTTGTCCAATTTCATAACTTGACTTGGTTTTGGGTCATTCTTTGTTGGATTAGCAACGTATGGCCAAGAGAACCGTTCTGAACTTTTCCTTTTCAATGATTCAGCAGTCTACAAAATGCTCACACATCACTATTGTATATCTCAATTCAAAGAGATGTTGTTTGGATCACTTCTCTATTTCAAAATCTTAAACCGTGGGAGGATTTTATACCCCTAGCCACTTAGTATACTTTCGGTAGGACCAAGGGTAAGGGGATGAAGCTCAAGTATAACAAATAGATAGCCCATTACCTTCCAGCTTATCCCAACCTGATCTCCCTAAATGGTTTGGGCTGGGGCCTGGAAAAAAGATGAGTAAGGGGCCTGCTAGTCCGCCTGCTCTTAGTCTTATGGAGGACTTCACATAGTCAATTAATTGCCTTTTAAGGACTGAGATCCACTTCCTCCATTGTAGTATGCTGAGAATGAGAATATGAGAACTGCCTAATGATGACAGGTCGTTGACAGACCATGGAATTTGAAAGAATGAAAGGTCACTGAATGAAACATAAAAATCTCTTAAAGGAGTTTGACAGAATAGATGCTGCGAAAACATTGCCTCATTGAGAATGTCTCAGAATATGGGGTCAGTATTTACGACAGAGATAAAGAGAAAATTCCTTACTCAAAGAATAGTGCATCTTTGGAATCGTAATCCCAGAGAACTGTGGATACTCAGTTGTTTGTAAATTTAAGACTGAGATTGATAGGTTTTTAGGTACTAAGAAAATTAAAGGACTTGGGGATAGTATAAAAAGGAGTTGAAGTAGAGAACTAACCATGATCTTGTTGAATAATGAAGCAGACTGTAGGGCCAAATGGCCAACTGCAGCTCCAATTTCCTCTGTTTTTCTCTCAGACTGTGGTTAGAGAGTGGAACTCACTACCATAGAAAGTGGTTGAGACAAAAAGCTTAGATGCTTTCAAAAGGAAACTAGATGAGAATATTTGACAGAAAGAATTAAAAAGATATGCTTAAGGCTGAAAGTAGGTATATGGAATTGGGATATAAATGAGGTACATAGTGAGCAATAACCATCATTACAATTCTGAAGAAGATGGGTCACTGGACCCAAAACACTGACTCTTCTTTCACTGCGTGGATGCTGCCTGGCCTGCTGAGTTTCTCCAGCCATTTCTGTTGTAGTACAGTTTAGTTGCGCTAAATGGTCTGTTACTGCAGTTATTTTTGTATGTGATGGAACTCCATGTTGGAAGTGGTTAAAAAATTCTGTTATTTTGGGCCCATGGAGACAGGCAATCTTAATCAGCTCCCTTAATGCCAAACCTGATACATGCATTGGAAAAGCAGATGTCACTTCTGGCTTATTTACCAACCATGGACTGAACAACATCGAGGTGTTAGGGCCTAGCTGCTGGTTTGTAAGGCCTGTCCTCTCAACAACATGGTGCATGGTTGCAAATATGGCAACTGACAGCTATCAAGAAGAGAAGCTCAAGAACTTTTGTTTTTGCTGTTTGTGGTACATTCTGAGCATCTCATGGAAGTACAAAATCGCAAGTGCAGTAATGATCTCAAAGGCGAAGCCCCAAAGTTTTGCCTGCACTCTTCGAGGAGAGAGGTTTACACTTGATCGGCATGTTCTCAGAATGGAAAATAACACACAAGGATTTTCTGTATAGCAAAGCATCTAGAGCCAGATAACTCAGTAAGACACCCAAGCTCCACTTCAAGGAGTTTTCAAGCATGGGGGCCTTAAATACTGATTCTCGCATTCAGGAAACAATGAAATGGGTGGTATCATTTGTGCGCCAGCTTGGCAACTGATGCCAACTTTGAAAACAACACCACCAACATTGTGGTAGAACTGCTTCTCATGGATTAGTCTTTTCAGCCTTCTGCAAAGTGCACCACATGGAGCTACCTCATCCCCAACGGGTTTATCTGTTGTATCTATTTACGCAGACGGAAGGATGCCATTGGGGTGTGGGGAATATTCTATGTAACATGCAGTGAAAAACAAACCCAATAGAAAGAAGAGAATGCAAGTAAACATGTGATCAATGCTACAACCAGACATGGTAAACATGCACTGTTTACTTATGTTATATTGTTCCTTTTCACTATTGAAAAGCCTAACTTTACATTAGACCAAACAATTTTCTGACATACATTTGCAACATATAAGCAACTACATAAAAAAGAAAAGAACAGCAGATGCTGTAAATCAGAAACAGAAACAGAAGTTGCTGGAAAAGCTGAGCAGGTTTGGCAGCATCTGTGAAGAGAAATCAGAGAAATATGATTTCCCTTCACAGATGCTGCCAGATCTGCTCAGCTTTTCCAGCAACTTCTGTTTTTGCACATAACTAACTAAAGTACTTACCAGATCTCGGTGTATGAATCCATTTGCTTCCAAATATGACATGCCATCACATACATCCTGGCACATGCTCAGTAACATTTCATTGTTTAACTGCCCTCTTCTTTGTCGAAGATAGTTCAGCAGACAACCAAGTTCCATAAATTCAGTCACTATATATATTGGTTTCTGCTGTGTGCAAACTCCATACAATTGCACTAATTTTGGATGAGATAATTTCCTACAGATAAATCAAGCATGCCAGTGAATATCTCAGAATCATAGAATCCCTACAGTGTGGAAACAGGCCCTTTGGCCCAACAGATCCACACCGAACTTCAGAGCATTCCACCCAAACCTATCCGCATAACCCACCTAATCTACACATCCCTGAACACTAGCATGGCCAGTCCATCTCACCTGCACATCTTTGGACTAATTCCTCAAAATCCAGATTTTATACAAATGTTCTGTTTATGGAACATTAAACTGATTTAATACAGACCATTGAATACCAAAACTTATGAATATATTTGTAATGCCTATAATTTAACTTTCCTTGTTTATTTACTACTTTCCCTTTCTTTGTTCTGCATTTTTATTTCCTACTCTTCCTGAAGATCCTTAGTTCTTGCTGCATTTGGCTTAAAAGATGATCTTGAATGCATTATCCAGCTTAAAATTGTTCATATGTAAGCCTTGACAGTGGATGTTGGAAGATTATCCAGTCACAAGGATCTCACAACAGAATCCTATGTTATTCTCACGTGTATCCACAATCATACTCACAATAAGAATTATAATCAAGAACAGGGGGCTAATATTAACATCAGACTGATATTGAATTGTGACTGACATACAACTACATGAATGAAGAGCTGGAAGGAGCTCCAACTAACTCAGTCTTCATAATAGGTGTTTAGCTGTGTGCCAATGGAATAACAACTGTTTTAACATAGAGCATCAACAATAAATATAGCATTTCGGTAATATTACAATTGATTGCAGTATACTCCTTCAACTGAAAATTCCTGGCTATAATCTTTAAACCTTGTATGCCACACAAAACATTTTAGTCTTTCAATTTTTCTCCCCTCTCTTATTTTTCCCCAGAAGTAAAGACCTTCCTGGGTGGACTCCATGGCAAATAACATCCTCAACAATTTTGGCTAAATAGTATAGTCCACGTACAAGTTTAAAAATTGAACATTAGAACTTTGTAAATCGACCTTATTGAACATGTCACACTTCTGGGGCAGGTGGGACTTAAACCCAGACCTTCTGGCCTAGAGGTAGGGACAGTACCATTGTGTCACTAGACCGTTTATGGGAAGCTGCAGTTTTGAGCATAATTCTGGCATTATCACATTCATATATGGAATCCCCTGATAGTTTTCATGAATAACAATTCTGGCTGATTTTCACCTACGATTGAAACGTGCTGAGAAAGCTAACTTAGCATAGACTTAAAACCATTGAGAAAAGTTATGACACAGGAAGAAGCTGTTCAGCCCACAGTGTCTGTTCTGGCTGATTAATCTAACTGTCTATTCTAATCCCATTTTACGGCACCTAGTCCATAACTTTAAAGATCACAATGTTTCACGTATACATCCAGATTCCTTTAAAGAAGTTGTGGCTATCTGACTCAACCAACAAACCAGGCAGTGAATTCCACACATCCAGCATACTCTGGATGAATAAGTTTTTCCTTCTACATCCTCTAATCCTTCTACTAATATCCTTAAATCCATGGAAACATGAGAATAGAATGTAGGATTTTAACAGATCCTGTGTTTCAACAACTTACTAAACCCACAAGGAGTGTATCAGAAATCTAACATTAATGCACAGTCACTCACATCATGATTTTAGCTTCTTCTATGAAATCCTCTTCATACATTGCGCCTTCACGTATTGCTTTAATTGCTACTTTGTGTTGAGCCCGCCACTTTCCTAAACGCACCACTCCAAACTGTCCACTTCCCAGCTCTTTCATAAATGTCAGCTCAGATGGATTTATTTCCCATTTATCTGTGTAAAATAATTAAGCAACAATGTTGGACCATATAAACTCAACAGAAACTTTCAAAGCTATGACAGAGAAATTAAATTGCTTGAAATTATGCGCAACCGTATGACACAATTTTTGCCAATGTTAGTCACCTTAGACACAAAGTACTAATATTTATAAAGAGAAGATTGTTATAACAATGCATTAAACATAGAGAAAATGTAAGTAATTCAGAAAATATAGTTGGAGCATATACCTTTGTTAGAAATATCAGCTGATTCCAGACAAAAATTGAGCAATATTTTGGAAAACAAATTCAAAGTATTAAACAATTTACTTCAAGGTAATTATTTTTGTTCCCCGTTCAGATATGGCAGCATGACATTAACAGAATACATTTTAATAGAACTTTTCTGAGTGGAAAATCAACAATTCTGGTTCAGCAACAAAGATTACACACATTGACACTAGAAGAAAATTTATTAAAGAAGTAAATTAGAAGGTAGCAGTATGCAACTTAATCAATGGTACCTAGCAACAACTCTAAAAAAATATGAATGTTTGCATTCTTATTTGTTGAATTGGATCAGATGATCTGCAAATATTTAACCTAAAGCTTCAATTGACTGAAAAAATAATATAGTATTTGCCATAATTTAGCTGGTGACACATTTGACAGTTTAAAAAAAACTAGCAGTTTCTGAGTTAATGTAAAATTAGACTGTTACATTACCATAGCTAAAGCCAGCAGTTGTAGGTGCAGATCGTCCTTTACGGCCCACTGGATATCGCAATCGTGTGACAAGACCTAAAACAATACCTCCAGGTATTAGTCAAGGTAACAGTTCAACATATGCTCATTTTCTTTTATGCAGTGTACTAGAATTGACATTGGGCCTGCAGTTTACATACAGAACAGGCCTAATACCTTTCTTTGTTTAGACCTTGGATACATGAGATCACTACCTTTTGCTTCGATAGGTGGCACACTTCCAGGAGAGATAGATGTCAGAACACAGTGCTTCAGCATTCATTTCTCATCCACAAACGAGACTCAATAATGTTTAATTTGATTCCCCCAACTTACCTCATGCCTTTAATTCCCATTTTTAAGATTCCTGTACTTAACTAAACTTAACACCGTAAAGTACTAACTAAGCATATTTGATCACCTCTTTGCTCTTGTACTCTGTGTGGTTAATTATAAAGCTAAAAATACTAATTGCCATTTTATAGAATTATCAAATGGTTACAGCACAGAAGGTGGCCATTTGGCCCATCAAATCGATGCTGGAACTCTGCATGAGCAATTTAGCTAGTCTCACACATTGCCTTTTGCCTATGGTCTCACAACTTTTATCCATTCAGATGTTTATCTAGCTCCCTTTCAAAAGCCATGCTTGAATGTGTTGCCATCACTCCCTGAATAACAAGATTGTTGTGGCGCAAGAAGGAGCTGTTCAGTCCATCAGGTCTGTATTGTTTCTCCAAATAGGCATTATGACTAAGTGCCATTCTCCTGCCTTTCCTGAATATCGTTCTATTTAAATTATCATCTGACACTGTCTTGAATGAACATACAAACAAAGAATACTGGAATATCTCAATTGTACTTGCCTCCAATACATTTCCAGACGTGTTCCAGATCCTAATTACTGATTGTGTTAAAAACCTTTGTCTCAACTAAAATTTTGTTTTGTTTGCAAATTACCTTACATCTGTGCCCACACTCATTCTTGATCCTTTTGAGAGGGGAAATGGTTTCTGCCTATCTATTCGGTCTAGTTTCCTCGCAATTTTTAAAACATCTATTAAATCTCTTTTTAGCCTTCTCCTCTCTAAGGAAAACATTCCCAACATCACCAAATTGATCTTTATAACTGATGCTTCTGATTCCATTTTTGCAAACGTTTTCTGCATGGTTTCCAATGTATTCACATCCACATAAAATGTGGCACCTAGAACTGGACACTGTTCTTTAGCTGAGGTCTAAGTGACATTTTAAATAAGCTCAGCGTTGCCACTTTGCCCCATATTCTAGCCCTCAGAATACTGTATGCTTTATAAGTTAAGTTGCTTGCTTTACCTGTCCTGCCATCTTTAGTGACTGGGCACAAAGACATCCAAGTCTCTCTGCTCCTGCATGCCCCTTAGGGTGGGGCTCTTTATTTTTTACTATATCTCCATGTTGTTCCGTCAAAACGCATCACCTCGCACTGCTCCACATTGATCTTCATTTGCTCCTGCTCCCTTTACCAATCTGTCAAAGTCTTCTGTAATTTTACATTGTCCTCCTCAGTTTAGGGAGCTACCAAGTTCTCATCATCTGCAAACTTGAAAATTGTCCCCTGCACATGAAGATCCAGATTATTAAGATACATCAGAAAAACAAACTCCTCCGGAAATTAACCAAAAACCTTTCGCCGGTGTGAAAAAACATCCAGTAACCGTCACTTTATTTCCTCTCCCTCAGCCAGTTTTTTCTAAAGTCCATGGTGCTACTGTCCCTTATATACAATGAGTAGCAACTTTTCGCATAGATCTGTTGTGTGACATTGTACTGAATGCCTCTGGAAGTCCATTTACACCACATCAGAACACCATTACCCTCAACAACGCCCTCTAATACCTCTTCAAAAAACTCTAGCAAATTTGTTTAACACAATTTTCCTTTATGAAATCAGTGCTGGCTCTTCCTAACTCACCCATTGTTTTCTGTACAACCATTAATTCTATCCCAAGTAATTGCTTTGAGAAGTTACCTCTGAAGTTGGACTGACTGGTCTATAATTGCTGGGCCAATTCCAACCTTTCTTGAATAAGAGCATAACATTTGCAAATCTCCATTCCTCTGGTGTTACCTCAGAATCCAGGGAAGATTGAAAGATTGCCAGTCCCTCTGCAACGTCCACTGCACTTCCTTCAATCTCCCTTGTTGGCACTTCATTCACTTCTGTAACCACCAACATTAAGTATCAACAGCCTGTCCAATATCACCTCTATCAATTTCTCATGACTCCAGTTTCCTCCTCTGTCACCATGGCCTGGGCAGCTTCCCCTTCCTTAGTAAAGACAGATTCAAAATATTAATTTAATACCTCATCCATTCCCCTGCCACCTGAGTAAACCCCTCATTTTGACACTAATCCTCATTTAACCACCCTTTTATTGTTTACATGCCTATAGAAGATTTTGGATTGCCACTTTATGCTTGCTGCCAGTTTCTTTTCATAATCCATTTTTGCTACTCTTATTTGATTTCTTGCCTCCTTTTCTGACTGGTCCATATTCGTCTTGGCTCTCAACTGCGTTTTCTACTGGACACCTATCATAAGCACACTTTTTCTCTTCTTTATCTTAACCTCCACATCCTCTTTCATTCAGGGAGCTCTGGGTTTTGTCTGCCCCATTTTCTCTTTTGAGGCAATACACCTCAATTGTGCCTGAAGTATCTCTTTCTTGAAGGTAGCCAAATTGTTCAGTTACAGTTTTCTCGTGCCAAACTTTAATTCCAATTTATCCACCCAAGGTCCATTCTTGCCCCATTGAAGTTGACTATCCACCAATTAATTATTCTGAATCTGGATCGTCTTTTGTCCTTTTGAGATTTGATTTGATTTATTATTGTCACACGTGCCAACATACAGTGAGAAATATTGTTTTACTTTAACCAGATAAATCATACCTTACATAAGTACATCAGGGTAATAGAACAGAATGTAGTATTACAGCTGCAGAGAAGGTGCAGATAAAGATCAACTCTAAGATATGCGAGAGGTCCATTCATAACTCAGATAACAGCAGGGAAGAAGCTGTTCTTAAATCTGTGGGTACATGTTTTCGAACTTTATATCTTCTGCCCAATGGAAGAGAGTGGAAGACAGTATAACTAAGGTGGGAGAGCCTTTGATTACGTTGGCTGCCTTCCGAGGCAGTGGGAAGTATAGATGGAGTCAATGGAAGGAAGGCTGGTTTTCATGGTGGACCAGCTGCATTCATGACTCTCTGTAATTTCTTGCGGTCTTGCCAGAGCAATTGCCACACCAAGTTGTGACGCATCCGGATAGGCTGCTTTCTATGGTGCGTCTATAAAACTTGGTAAGAGTCATTGTGGACATGCCAAATTTCCATAGCCTTCCGTGGAAGTAGACACATTGTGTAGGGAGTCTGGTTTGAGATCAGTAATCTGATTTTTTAGGTGGTTCAAATCACTCTGAGATCCCTGGTTCTGACACTGGACTTAACTTAGGAATGTGAAGTGAAGAAGGCAGTATCAGCTGTTTCAGGGCAAAGAATCTCTGCGTTTATTAAATGCAAAGGTGAGTATATCACAAAAAATAAAAAAGCAAAAGTAAGTAATAAACAGGGAAATAACACAAAGGTGAATAAAATACAAGAGATGAAAAGGCAAATTCAAAACAGTGAAACTGACACTTTCAGTCACTAACTTAACGGACTAATTACTATTAGAAACTAAACAGTAGTTTCAAACACAGGCACTTTAATCAGACTTCCTGACATTGGGGTGTCCTGCACTGTCATCAACCCACCTTCACCTCCGTGCTAGCTAGGTTGGATACTTTGGGTCTTGCGGAAATAGGAGATAAACACGATTTTGAAATACAGCTGGCCGTTCGCATTTGCTGCATCCGGTGCTTTGCTCATGAATTTGAACAGTATAGGCCTTCAGTCTGGTTTGAGCACTTGGGTTTTCTTATTTAGTGATTTTATGAGCTGGTTTTCACCTCAGGATGTGTCTGAGGCCTCGTCAGTCACGTCAGTGGTTTTTGGAGGCTGTCGGCCGTCAGATCTGCTGGTTGTGGTCAGTTGCTGTTGGTTCCCCTGGTACGGAACAGCCCTGTGTTGGTAGGTTTCAGGGCGATAGCTGTACAGATAGTTCTCAGGGAAAGTAGCTGTCTGGGATCCCTCTTCTGTTGGTAGCTGTGGGGATGGCTCGGTCTCTCTCTCTCTCTCTCCTCCAGATCAGGGCCAGCAGTTATACAGACTGTGTACTCCGTTATTACCTGTCAAATCTGTGTTAGCCGTTGTGTTTCTGTTGTCCCCATTATGGTGAACCGGCTTCCTGATAGTTAGAGTAGGTGTAAATGTATTTTAATTAAGTGGCATGTTCAGTATTTCTGCAAATGAATATTAATTGAAGTTGAATGCCTTGGTACCTCTGAAGAGTCCAAGATGTCTGAAGTTGTTGACTTGGGTCTAGTTGATTGTTCCTTTAGAGCTGAGGTGTGAATAGGATTTTTAACTGAACCATGGTTCTAGATGGCTATCCCTGCAACTATGTATTCCAGAGCATAGACCAGCTGCCTTTTTCTTGTTTTAAAAGTTCTGCTAGAAATCCAGGGGTTTTGGTCCAGTATTCTAAATGACAGGGATTTTTGCTTACTCCTCCAATTGGTGTGCTTTCTTAACTGTAGCATCGATGTGGGTGGACCAGGATAGATTATTGGTGATAATTACACCTAGGAACTTGAAGTTCTCAACCACTTCCACCTCAGCACCATTGATACAGAGAGAGGTGTGTCCTCCACTCCACTTCCTGAAGTCGATGGCCAAGTCCTTTGTTTTACTGACATTGAGGGACAGATTGTCATTACACCATGCCACTAAGCTGTCTCTTTCCCGCACACTTATCTCATTATTGTTTGAGATCCAACCCACTACGGTGGTATCATCAGCAAATTTGTAAGTGGAGTTAGAGCTGAATTTGGCCACACAATCGTGACTTTATAAGGCATGTAGTAAGGGGCTGAATACAAAGCCTTGTGGGACACCAGTGTTGAGGATTACTGGGGAGGTGGTGTTGCCTGTCCTGACTGATTGCAGTCTGCAGATCAGGAAGTCAAGTATCCAGTTGCAGAGTGGGGAGCAGAGTACTAGGACTAGGAGTTTGGAGATGAGGTTGTTTGGAATTATGGTATTGAAGGTGGAGCTCAATAAATAGTCATAACCACATGTTAAAATCTGCTCTGTTTGTTTTGCTAATGTCTTGGAATCTGTGTTCACTGTTTCTTCTGTGAATCAACTTTCTCAGCAGGATTCCAAGCATATTTCTTTCTGGCTATATCTACTTAATTTGCATGTTCAGCAAGTTATGCAATGTTCTTTCAAGTGCTCCTGTTCCCTCAATCCCTCAGCCATTCTTCCGTTGATTGTCTGCTCCCAAGTCTTTCATTGACTGCATCACAGAATTGTTATGAAACAGGAGGATGACATTCGACCAACATCTTGCCTGCACAGACTCTTCAAACAAATACCATTATCCAGTGCCAAAATCCTGCTTTTGCCACATCTCCTTGCATATTTCTATCCAAGTAATCTTTAATGCTTTCTTGAAAGCCTCAATTTGAACCTGCCTTCACCACACTTCCAGGCAGCACATTCCATATTGTAACTATTCACTGAGTGAAAAAGTTTTTTCTCCATATTACCCTTGCTTTTTTTTTGCATATCACTTTAAATAAAAAACATCCTGAGCCCAAAATAAACTGTATACTCTTCATATCTTCCCTTTGAATGTTTCCACCACAATTCTTGTCTATAATTGCATACTTCAATTCATTGGAAAGAAAAACAGCTAACATTTCAGGGTCATGATCTTTCATCAAAACAGTGAGATCTGCTGAGTATTTCTACATTTTTCTGCTTAAATTTCGGATTTCCAGCATCTGTAATAGCTTGCTTTTGTGCTCCTGTTACTTATTTTTTTCTCCCAAAAGGCATTACTTCTTGGCATTGAAATTTCATCTTACTTGACCATCTTGTCAATCTGACTGCCTTCTTCTCATCTTTCAAAGAGTCTTTGAAAAGCTCTCACTTTTGTGCCTCCAGTTAATTTCAATATCATGTTCCTTGTATTGAAGTACAAATCACCAGTAGTTCCAAATCTGTAGCCCTTGTGCATCCCAGGAATTACATGAGACATTCCTGGGGAGAAATAGTGAAGCAGCAGATCCTCCTCCATCTGCTTGTACTCTCTTCCCCACACTTGCTTGGCTTCCGCACAATGTCCCCCCTCTCATCTGTATTCTCTGTACAGTGCACACTTTCTTAGTAAAATAAATAAAATGAAGACCTCATGATTGTATAATGGGGATTTAACTTGCCATTTAAATATCCAATAACTCTACCTATGGTTTTGCTTGGGCTATGATACAATAGCATTGAACCACTGGCTATTTTGCTTTCCAGATTTCATTAATGGTGTGTGAAAGGGTTTGTAAATTGCCCTAAATTAGTGTTCCCAGGGCTTAACCACAGTGCCAATAAGATCTATTCCTTATGGTTAACACATAGGAGCCATTCAGCCTTTAATGCGTATGTTGGCTCTCTGAAGAAGTAACGCACCTAGTACACGCTCCCGTACCCATTCAAATTTTCCCTTATCGGATAATAATCCAATTTCCTTTTGAAAGCCTCAATTAACTCTGCCTCCAGCACATTCCCAGGCAGTGCATTCCAGAACTTAACTGCGTGAAAATGCTTTCCTTTTGCTGCCTTTTTTTTAATAAAAGCAATTACATTAAATTTGTGCTATTTGATTCTGAATTCTTTCACCAACAAGGACAGGTTCTCCCTTTACATGCTGTAGGGACCCACGATTTTAGTATCTCTCTCAAATCAAATCTCAGGTTTCTTTTCAAGGAGAACAGTCCCAACTTCTCTCATCTTTCTACATAGCAGAAGTTCTCATCCCTGGAACAACTGCTGCAAAATTTTTCTGCATCTTCACATGTTAATGCCTTCACATCTTTCCAAAAGTGAGGGTGTCTAGAACAGGAAGCAATATTCTAGTTGAGATGGGTACCAGTTTTATTTTTTAAACGAGCTTTTTCAGAATTAATACAACTTCTTCAGTTTTGTACCCTAGGCTCCACTAATAGATAGATGCTGCATGCTTTATTGACCATACTCTCAACATCTCCTGCTACTTTCAATGATTTACATGCACATATTGTTCCTACATCCCTTCAGAATTAGAGCCTTTAATTTATATTTTGTGTGTTCTTTGAAGCATAGCATGTTCCTCTGCATTTAATTTCAACTACAGGATGGTGGAAATGGGCCAACCTATCTATGTCCTGTCAAAAGTCTACATAATTTTCTTTATGGTACACAATATTTCTGAGTTTCATTTCATCCACAAATTTTGAAATTATGCCCCATGCATCATAGTCTAGGCCACTAATAAATCAGAAAAGTTGGGATCCTAATACTAATCCCCAAGGAACCATGACAAATCTTCCTCCAGTATAGAAGACGATTATTCATGACTACTATTTCCTGTTACTCAGCCAACTTCATTTTCATCTCGCTACTGTTTCTTTTATTCCACAAGCTCTAAGTTTGCTCACAAGTCTGTTGTGCAGCACTGTATCAACTGTGTTTTGTAAGTCCACATAGATCATATCACAGCATTACCCTCATCACCTCTTATGAAAAGACTTCAGCAAGTCATTTAAAGATGATTAACAAATCCACACTGGATTTTTCTAATTAACTAAGTAACAATTAATTCGGTCCCACTATTGCTTCTAAAACTGTCCCTGCATCTGAGGTTAAACTGTTAAGTCTGTCATTTCTGGGCTCATCCTTGCACCCATTCTATTTCATCTTAATTGCGAAGTATTCCATCATACAGAAAGCCCAAGATTTTTTTGTCCTACCTTTCCCCATCGTGGGAATATACCTTGGCTTTACTTGAACAATCCTTTCTTTAAAGGCAGCGCATTGTTCTGTTACAGTTTTGTCTCCAGACCTTGATTCCAATGCACCTGGCCCAGATCCATTCTTACCCTTTTGAAGCGGTTTTCCCAGTTAACTAATTTTACTCTGGATTGCTCCTCATTCTTTTCCACAGCCAACATAAACCATATAATCAAAACTCACCGTACCCCTATAGGAGTCAAAGATCAACCCAAATGGCACTAGACTGTCCTGCTGGCAGAGATGAACAAAAGGATAGTTTAAGGAAGGAAGGCAACAATGGCTGAAGAAAAGCAAGTTGGTATATTAAAACAGTAAGCAACTTGAAGGGGAGGTCATACTTGCTTGCGTGTCGGTAGTCTGCAAAGCAATCACCCAGTCAGTGATTGGTCTCTCCAGTGAAAAGATCACACTATGGTCAACAAAGACAGTAACTAGACTGAACGAAGTACATGTAAGGTTGCAGCTTCACCTGGAAGGAATTATTGAGTCAGGAGGGAGGAGGTAAATGGGCAAGTGTGACACCTCCTATAATTGCAAAGGGTGGTTCTATGAGAAGGAGATGAGGTGTCAGGGTGGACCTGCAGATAAATTTTATTTTGTTCAAAAATCACACAATTTGTAGACAGCCTATGTGGCATTTTATAATTCCTATTTTTGAAATAAAACCAGTCTGATTCCAAGTTAAAACACAGACAGATTCTAAACAAGACCTCACACCTAAAATGCATTGTCTGACCAGAGATGTCACCTCTGGTATACAGATAAAACCCTTAGTTATCTCGGGGCAGTGACTTGAAAGAAATTCTGGGATTTGCATATTAATCAATCGAAACCTGCATCTTTTTTCTAATCGATTAAAGATTTAACAGCCATCTTGGCTTTGCTCAATACATTCACATCAGTTATATGACCTTTTGCTTATAAATTCTGTGTCTGATGTCACCTGTCTCACTAACACCTGAAGAAGCAGCGAGACTCTGAAAGCTTGTGTTTCCAAATAAACCTGTTGGACTATAATCTGGTGTCACATTATTTTTGACTTTATCTTGAGATAGTTAAACTTACCCAAAATATTGCAAATTTTTTAGCACTCCAGCATTATTGGATCTCAACTGTTTGGTGGCAAAATCTATACATTAGAAATTGTATAATACCCTCTATACTATTTAATGTCACCGTATTGAACAGTGTTATGTTCTGTCGCTGGGAGAAAATACTGAATTAATGCTGCCAGCCTCACTCTGTCCTTTGTCTCCCCTCTATGTGCATCTCTACAAATGCTATAATGAGGAATATTAACTTGACAGACCATTCCACACTTTTAGCAGATTCTTAGATATCATTCCTCCCAATTAGTTATTAATGCTACTAACTCAATATGGTTTTAAAGGTACTGTTTCATCACATTCATTTCACTCAATTGTGCCTCCAATATTTGTAGCTTTAATTTCCTTAGATCATCCTACTTTTGTTTCACTTTTGCACCTTAACATTTTACTGTTTGCCCTGTTCTCTTCCCTATTCCCATTTTCCTTCAGATTCCCTTTCTACTTCACCATCACAACCCAACAATTATAGTTTCAACTGTCTGTCAGCGTTAATTGCTAGATACAATTCAATAATGATAAACATGTTAAATTGTCACCAACAAAATGTATTTTATTTCAATACCTGCTGCATTATGCTGATGGTACTCAATCAATTCAGGAATATTGTTAAATAAATGTTTTTCTGCCAGATAGTACTGTCTCACAGGTTCCTGGGTCAGCTTTATATGGTAATGTCGAGTTGATCCACTGCCATCTCTGGGGAAAAAAGAACACGTTGTTAAAGTTAATAATTTTTTAAAAATCATTAGTCAATAGATTTGGGGACATTGGCTTCAGAAAACTCAACAGGCAGCAGTGGGAACTCTGCTTGTGTTATGAAAGGTATAAGTGTTAAGTGTTAAAAGTTAATCACCCTCTCTGTCTTTTCCACACAGTGACTGTATTGTACCCCTCCACTAAATTGATCATTCTAAATCTTAACATGGTTTGGAATTTCCTATGCCATCACATATGTACCATTGCCTCAATTTTGAAGGGAAATTTCATCTATTTTAATTCCAAGATAAACTGACATAAAGGTAATTCATTTGCTCAAAACAAGAAATACTCTTCTGATCATAGAGCCTTTGAATGATAAAGAACAGGAGACACATTATGCCTGTCCTTGCTCTTTGGTCAAGCTACTCAAGCAGTCTCGCACCCTGTTCTTTTCTCATTGCTTTTCCCTTCAAGTATTTGTCCAACTTTAGATACGATGAATGACCAAATGGCCTACTCCTGCTTCTATTTATTATTCTTGTATTGAATGTGCTTCCATGACCCTTTCAGATAATAGAAACAAATCCCATCAAACTCAGTGCAAAAAATAAAATCCCATTTTGCCTTTAGCTCTTTAGCCAATCAGCTTCTTTGGTTACTGATTTTTCTGCAGCATTCCACATTCAAATTATTACCAAGTATTTACAGCACAGCCAGACACCATTCAGCTCAAATTTACCTCACCCTTTGCTTTATTTCCCTCTTGAATTTACATAACTTCCTCCTAAATGCAGTGATGATACTTGCCTCAACTACTGTTTGTGGTAGCAAATACCACATTATAACTATTTATTAAACAAGGAAGATCTTCCTGCAATGGGAGATAGTAGGAACTGCAGATGCTGGAGAATCTGAGACAACAAGGTGCAGGGCTGGATGAACACAGCAGGCCAAGCAGCATCATAG